AGCCAAGGTCACATCGGCAGAGAGGAGATGCAAGTGTGTGTGTGTGGCGGGGGGGGCTGCAAGCTATTTCTCTAACAAGGGACTGATACCTGAAATACTGTACATAAAAAACAAAAAAGCAGCTAAACAAAATAGCTGGATTTCAGAATGAACAAGGGCAAACATAAACAATTGCAAAAAAAAAAGAATGAACAAGTGCATTAGCAGCAACTCACACTAAAAAAGAAGGAAGGAAGGAAGGAAGGAAGGGAGGGAGGAAGGGAGGGAGGGAGGAGATGAGAGAGAGGAAGGAGGAGGAGGAAGGAGGGGGCGGGATGGGAGTGGGGTGGGGGGAGGGAAGGGCAGAAGAGCCCAGTGTGGTGGCACACACCTTGACCCCAGCACCCAGGAGGCTGAGCCAGGAGGATCCCTGTGAGTTCAAGGCCAGACTGCTCTACCAGGTGAGACGCTGTCTCAAAAAAAAATTTTGTTACGACACAAATGAAGAAAGGCTGCCCCTTCCTTGGACTGCCTTGTACACCACTGGCTGGAATATAGATTATGGAGAGCAGCACGCAGGCTCCTCAGAACCCACAACTGTCCTGTGACCCAGCAACCCCACTCCTGGGTACGTGGAGAGGAGGGAAGATCAGTATGCGGGACACACACTTGCCCTGTATGTTTCCTGGGCCACTGTTCACGGTCACTGAGATGTGGCATCATACTGGGCATCCACAGACAGACGGACAGACAAAGGCAGGGTGGTGGAGATGCACAATCAATACTCTCTGGCCACAGAAGAGAAGGATGCAACCCTGGCAGCCGCGGCGACGTGGAGGGGCTGGAGGACTTTATGTGGCAGGAAGACAGGGAGGCACAGGGTGACAAACACTGCGTGATCTTACTTCTATGCAGAAGCCGAAAAAGCTGATCTCATAGCAACAGAGGAAAATAGTGGTTACAGGGCTGAGGAAGAGGACAGAGCGGGGGTGTGACTGGGCGCAGCTGCTGGAGAAACGCGCCCCCCTGCCCAGTACCGGGGACTGAACACACATCCAAGGAGCTACATCTCAGCTGTTTTTATTTTTTATTTGCCTCATTAAATCACTAAGTTGCCCAAATTGGGCTCACCCTGGCAGCCTTCCTGCCTCAGCCTCCCAGCATGCTGGGGTAACAGGTGTGGGCCACCGGGCCCAGTTAGAAGGAGTTAACTCCCAATGTTGTCTCACCCAGCAGGGTCACCACACAGGCAGCAACTGACATACTTCAAAATAGCTGAAGGAGAGGCTTTTGAATGTTCCCAACAGAAAGCAGACACATGTCTGAGGTGAGGTGATTGATAAACCAGTTACTCTGATGTGATCCTTGCCCATCATATGCATCAGTTGAAAGCTCACACTGATCCCTGTAAATCTGCATACATAAAGTTAGGGTGCTTGTTGAGGGTTGAACGCACCCCGTCTCCCAGCAGTGAAGGGTGTGTGTCAAGCAGGTGGGGAGAGCTGGGGGATGGAGAGGTCTCTCCCTCTCCTTCCAGACTCCTGTTGTTCACTGTGTGAAGTCCACACAGAGCCCCCAGCCCCAGGAGGTGCTGGAACAAGGGGAGAGATGGAGGGCACCGAGGAGCAGGGCTGTGCCCTGGCAGCAGGGTTCCAGCAGATGGCTCCCCACATGGCCACAGCCCTGCCTTTGCTGCAGTCAGCACTGCTCCACTTACCCAAGGGACCCCGGGAATCCAGGGTGCTTCGATTTGGTGACAATGATGTACTGTCCCAGAAACCCGGGTACCCATCTCCAGTTCCCCATCATCTGAACAGATATTGATCTGCCATTGCAAAAGCCAAAATTTCCCTCAAGTTTGGGGACACCCATTCAGAGGGTTACCATGGGGGGTAGACCAGGGTCTCCTTGGCAGGCTGCCTCATCCTTAGGTGGCTCGGAAAACGCTGGGCATTCTGGGAGGCTGAGACAGAGTATCAAAAGTTCAACCCAGCCTGGCAACTTAGGGGATCCTGTCTCAAAACAAAAAATAAAAAGGGCTGTGGATTAGCTCAGTGTGAAGGTCCTGGGCCCGATCTGCAGTACTAAAAGAAAGGAAAAATCTAGACAACAAGGCTCCAAGAGCTGGTGACTGACAAGATGTCAGCTGAACGGCTAGAGTCGAGTCCTCCTGCCAGGGACCTGCTGGGGCTCCTGTCCTTGGCCTGGGCTCCAGGCCTCTCACCTGGCTCTCACTCCTACTAGCTCAGTCCCGCCCTGGCCTCTTGCACTTCTTGTCCCACCAGCCGGACCCTCCCTGGTGCCCAGCCTGGGTCGCAGGCACCAAACACTTCAGCTTCACTTGGCATCAACCCAGGACAACAAACTCAGACTCTCTGATGGTGGACTAGATTCCCCCAAATGCTTCCAGTTCAGTTAGAGTTGAGCCTCTATGTGATTCCTCCCATCCATGGGTTGGGCTGGTCTTTTTTCCCAGGAAGCTGGCTTACCCTGGGCAGCTAGCCATTCCCACCTCCTTCTCCTCCAAGTGCCCAAGGCCTTTAGGAAGGGTCCAGTCCATGGGTACTGATACAGCCTGATGGTGGTGGGTGGCAGATAGGAAGCAGAATATCCCTCCCTCACCAGCAGTGTATCTGTGGCCAACCTGAATCTCTCTGAGACTCAGTTTCCTCATCTGCAAAATGGGTTTTAGTAACCTTTCTACCTCCTGGGCTGATGTAAGAGGATTCCTTGGCATGGGATTTTGAGTACAGTGTTTAATTGTTGGTATTATTATTTGCCAATAACAGTAGGGCTTTGTATGTTAGTCAAAGTGAGTTCATGGCATGAGAGGAAACTGACTCACTGATTCAACTTTAACCCCCACACCCCACAGCTCCTTAGCAAGTGAGGGCATTTCTAAGGATTTCCTGTTCCCATCCCTACCCACTTCCTTCTTCATCCTGCAGCTAGGAGTCATTCCTGGGCACATCCCTTCCCTCCTCACACCTTCTTCCAGGAAGCCAAGGATGCTCCCAGGCTGACCTCACTGGTGGCAGGAAGTCTCGGTGAAAAACAAAACCTCCCACAGGGTAGCGCGCCCCTTCCTAAGGTACCCCTTCATCAGTCCTGGATGTCCACGCCAGCTAGGTTGCCGCGGGGCATCACAGGACATCACAGGACATCACAGGACAAGTCTATGGGTTTGCTTTTCTGTTTTGAAAGCCCGTCACAGGTTACAGGGATCCCCCTGAGCAGGGTTATCCTCTCCCATCTAATAACTTGGCAAGGTCACAGTTAGCAAGCCCTAGGGTCAGAGTTTGGAGGTCCCGAGTTCTACTTCTATACCAGACACCTTCGCTGAAAACAGATCGGCTAAAAGAAAGATGTGCCTGGTGAGAGCCCACATCTGTAATCCCAGCACTGGCGAGGCTGAGGCTGAAGGACCGCTGGGAGCCCAAGGCCAGCCTGGACTACACAGCCAGAGCCTGTCGCAAAATAAAACAAACATAAATAAAATAAAAGAGGCAAGCGCTTTTGGACCCACAATTTCAGAGCTTTCAGTCCTTGGCCACTTGTTGCTTTGGCGCTTGTGGACCCACCAACTAAGGCACTGAGGTGGCACAAACTGCACACCATGAAGCTTAGAGAGGAGACCCAGGGCCAGGAGTCCTCTCCAAGGCCACGCCCCCGATGACCCGGAACCTCCCTCCTAGGCCCCGCCTCTTAAAGGTTCCACCACCTCCCAGTAGCTTTGCGTGCTTGGGACCAAGCCTGTAACACGCTGGCCTCTGTGGGGAGGGAAGAGGGACCCTTACCCAGACCATAGCACGAAGCCTTATGAGTAAAAGTTAGTGGTTCTGTTAACCAAAGGGGGAAAAAATAACACATGGTTATTTCCTGCCAAACTAGCCCAGCTTTTTAAAAATCAGAATTCATGGGGATTTAGCTCAGCGGCATAAGCACCTGCCTTGGAAGCAGGCAGTCATGAGTTCGATCCCTGGTACCGATAAAAAGGAAAAAGACAAAAAAAAAAAAAAGAAAGAAAGAAAGAAAGAAAAGAATTCATAATAGTGAAAGCATAGAAGGGGCTTGAAACAGTTCTCCCATATTCTGGGAAAGGGTTGCCTCTAATGATCTAACCTTTCTGCAAAGCAATTTGGTGAGAGGTAAAGTGTTTTAAAAGCTCCAACGGGGAGGCGGGGGCAGGGGTGTAGCACAGTGGTAGAGCACTCTGCCTAGCCTGCTTGAGGCCCTGACTTTGATCTCCAGCACTTCTAAGAAAAGGTTATATCCTGGATGAAAGTTCTGGAGCTAGACTGTGGTGATGGTTGTTGAACATTGCAAATGTATTAAATGCCTCTGAGTTGTATGTTAAATGGTAACTTTTCTGTGTGTTTTCGACCACAATTAAAAAAGAAAACAAAATCATACCCTTCCCTTCAACCATTCTACTTGGGGTTTTTTTTGTTTTTTGTTTTTTATCAGTACCGGGGATCAAACTCATGGCCAGGTGCTTGTGCTGCTGAGCTAAATCCCCAGCCCCAACCATTCTACTTCTGGCAGTCTGGTCTGAGAAATAATCCAAAACGGGACTCAAGCTCAACACAGCACTTTTCAGATCAAGAAACCAGAAAGAGTATGTACTGCAGAAACAGGGAGCTGGCTGAGTTCATATTGTGGGCTATTATGTTTCTGTAAAGTCAAATCTTCAAATAAATTTAATATCATGGAGGAAAGATCCATCATAGCACCCTAAATGAAGAATGACATAGTTTCATCTCTGCTTTGTGTTGGAGATGTATTTATTGGTGTATGTTCCAATATGGTTTGTATATAATTTGCAATAATATCAAAGTATTTTAAAGACATTCCAAGTCCTCCCTGGATAAATCCACCCCCGCCCAGCCCTGGCCCTGCCATCCATGCAATCTCCTGTTGACAGCAAATATGAAAAACCAGATGGGGCCACAGGGTGTCACTTGTGGATGCTGTTTTTGTGAAAACATCAAGAGGAAGAAAATCAGAGCTTTGCCAGCAGGTGGTTTATAAAGTTTTTATTTTTCATTTTCTTAAAAATAACATTTGATTTCCTTTATGCATGTGTGAAGTGTACTTGTTCCCTTAGGCTGACTAATAGGCAGATAAAGACGACACAAGGCAGGGTCCCCAAGTGGAGGTGGGGGTTCAGGGAGGTGGGGGGTGAGGGAATGGGGTGCAGAAGAGAGGGTGGGGTGATCCAGGGACGCTTGAGTGCCCATCAACGCACACACAGGTCTAACACTTTGTTTCTCGATTTTTTAAAAAGACATCTAAAATTACTGAGAGATACGATTTCAGCACTTAAATCTACAGACGGAAACCCAAGCACTGGAACACAATTCTTAACTCTAAGCTCAGTTATTGCACGTCACATGGTTTGAGAAGGCTGTAAAGCAGTTGGCTCTGCCTGGGACTTCCGTGGGTTGTCTCCAGTCTCCGTTTGCTCCCCAATGTCTCTTCTCTGGCACCCCTGCCAGCCCACAGCCCCACGGTGACCCTGGGGTGTCAATGACTGGCCACTTGTCCTCCCCAAGGGGCTGAGGGCTCAGGCTTTGGTGAAATGGAGGGCTCTGGTGTTGGTACCGATGGACCCCGCCCACTCTGAGGTGAACTTGGAAGCAGAGCTCTGCAGAGGGTCAGTGGGCGGCCTGCACTACAGTAAATCAGGCAGGTTGGAACAGGAAGGAAGCATGGCCACCATCCTGTGTGTTCACAACCCCTGCGAGACGCTAGGGGGCAGTCAAGATGTCCTGTCTCCCTCTCCCGGGGTGACTTGCTTCCTGAGCTCCCCGGGGCCACACTCCTCCTCCATCACCTCAGACCCTCTGAGTGGTCTTTCAAGGCACATTATTTTCTCCAATCCCAACCTACCCCATCTTTTCCAGCATCCATGCACCAAGGAGGCCTGGGGCCTGGCGAGTCATGGTTCTACAATTTGGTTGAGCTCTTTTCAGTGCCACTCCAGGTCCCCTGCCTGCCTAAGCCCAGGAGGTGAGGGTAGGGAGGCGCCAGGACATCCGTGTAGAGCAGCTGGCAGGAGCTGGGGTGGCAGCTGGGCCCAGGGCATATATCCATAGGGGCGGGGGTGGGAACCTGCATTCTTGCTGTGAGAAACTCAAGCTTGGCTAAGGAGAAGTCACAGAAGGCTTTCAGCCTTGGGAACAGCTGCTTTCATCTGACTTTGATGGCAGGGAGCTGTCTCAGTGGGGTGCAAAGCTTCAGAGACAGGGCAAGCCTGGACCCCTGCAGGCCCTCCAGAGGGGGCGAGTTCAATGCCTTTTGCTTTCTTCCTAGAACATATTTACAAGGTCAGATAAACGTGCACAGCGGAAGACCCAGAGACACAGAGAGCACAGCCCCCCCAGGAGAGGAGGAGCCACAGTGAGAGGAGGAAGAGCCCCCTCCCCACCCCGGGGGGCCCAGGATCCCTCACAGCTGCCCTCAGGACAGTTTCAGAAGTCCCACTGGGGCATCCCAGGGAGAGCAGGAAGCTTCAAGTAGCTCAAGTCAGAGGAGCAGCTGCCTCAGGAGAGCAGAGGGCGGATGTGACTGACCAGGGGACCAGAGGAAGGGGCCAGGGGACCAGGAAGGGGAGGAGAGGAGCACAGGGCCAAGGGTCTGGCATAGCGCGACACCTCAACAATCAGAACTGTGCTGCAGGATGAGAAGCGCTTTATGGGGCTAAGTGGAGCTTTTCCCCCCGAGAGGGCTCGGGAGACGTGGACTCCAGGGTGGAGGAAGGGCCAGTGGGTGAGGCTCTTTCATGACGTCCAACAGCACTCAGGCTCGGCAGGTGCTGGGAGAGCCAGGCTACCCAGACCCCATGCAGCCATCCAGTCCCCATAGTTCTCCGAGGCCACCATGATGGCCCAGGTCCATATATACACGCATACACACATACATGCACACCCATTCAAACATACACATGCACACTGCACTCTCCAGAGGCCCACATCCAGGTAAGAAATGCTTCACCAAAGGTATTAAGGAATTTGCTTTGACAGGGAGAACTGGACAAATTGGAGAAAACAATAGCAAACACACAAAGAAAAGTCACAGGGCGTCCTCGTGTGAGTAAGATGACTCCCACCAGGTCCAGAGGTCTGAGAGGACAGTGTGGTGTGGCTGTGGAACTGGCTTGTCACTAACGTTCTCATATTGCAGGGCTTCACAATAGAGCTTGGCTAACCTGAGGGACCCTCGGGGACAGCAGGAGCCCCAGAGGCCAGAGGAGCTGCACTGGGATGGCCCATGGTGTTGCTCCCCGTGGCTGCAGGGTTGGGAGGATCACAGTCCCAGAAAGCATGGAGGAGCCTCTCCCAACTGCGTCTCCACAGGGCCCTGGGGACATGTCTGTCCACTGGCCTGGGAAGCAGGAGAGCATCTAGTTAGGGAGTCAGGTAGGCAGTGGGCACACATCTGTGGTTCCTGGTCCTCAAACTCCCTGGGGAGATTAAGGAGGGTACCAACAAGGGGCACACAGGCAGGAGCAGCACCCCTCTTGTCAGGAGCTCCATGGGGGAGCCAGGCAGGGCTCCATTGCATAGCTCCAGCCCCGGACTCCAAGACAGCCACCTGTACACAGCCCCCAGGAGACTTGCAGGGAGAAGCCAGCCCCTGGCCACTCCTAAGGTGGCTCTGTGTGGAACCTACCCTGGCTCTGAGCTCACCCCTGCTCCCCACCTGCCCCACCCCTCGAGTGCGAGGGACCAGGCCAGATTGGCAGGGTGACTCTTCCTCCTGCCTCATCACCTCTGCCTCCAGCTCCTTCCCAGCTACCTCTGGTCACTCCATCGAGCCTCAGGGACTTTAGTGTCTAGTGCTTGGGGTGGGAGTGAGGGTTCAGGAGAGGGACAGGGCTTATTGTGGCTGGGGAGGGTTCCACACCAAATCAGCTGAGAGCTCCCAGCTAAGAGCTTCCTGCCCTCCGTCCTCTGGGACCCCTGAAGGGCAGCCAGGGACAGGAGGAGGCAGGGCTGGTGGGACCCCAGGAGAGTGGGGGGGGGTGAGGTGGTAGGGCAGGACCAAGGGCGTCTCATTTCATTGGTTTTTGAAGTGTTGGTGTGAGAATATGTGCATTTTAAAACCAACAGATGGGAAGAAAAGAAAGGCAAGGTAGCCGACTGGGCCTCTTGGTGGCTCACTCTGCCAGGATCAGTGTGGACACATTTGTCAGCGCGCGCGCGCGCACACACACACACACACACACACACACACACACACTCTCACCCCAGCCACACAGAGCCGTGCACGCACACTTCAGGTCCTCCCACCGGAGCCAGGGTGCTTCCGGCTAACTTCCGGATCCATTCGATAAGCTGCCCGCTGCTGTCCAGGTTTCTGCTGGCCGTCGGCACCCTGGCCTGCCATGGCACCCAGGGCCATCTACCAGATGTAGCCTCCGTCATCGGCATCCCCCGCCTCACCCTCTTCCTCCTCGGCCTCCTCGCCTGCTTCTTCCGTCTCCTTCTCCTCCTCATCCTCCCAGCCGACACCACTCCCAAAGTCCCCTGAGAACCCCACGATGTCATCTGTAAGGGCGACAAGCCAAGGGCAGCCGTGAGGGACCTGCTCGGCACGCTGCCCCCACAGCCTGTCCCGCAGGGCCCCCCGGGTGCTCCGAAGCTGCCCGGGCCTCACCACAGTCGGGGTTTCCATGCGTGCGGGTGCCGGTCAGCTCCAGGCCCAGCTGGTCCACGCACCAGCAGTCACCACTGGTCTGGTCACACTGCATCTTGCGGTAGTAACCATCTTCGTCACAGCTTGGGATGAAGATGCCTGGGTGGGACAGTGACAGCCTCAGAGCGTGGGCTTGAACAGGGATCGGATGGCCCCAAACCTGGCCAGTGCGGTCCTGACCCCTCAACAAACCCAGATGGCCAGGGCTCATTTCTTCCAGCTCTTCTGTCCAGAAACCAGATTTTCTGAACCACCTATTCAGATGTGCGTCAGCTGCTGTGCTCTCATCCTGTCCACATCTCTGAAGCTCCCCTGGACAACCTGGCCCCAGCCTGGCACGCCTGGGCGCCCCCCACCCCTCACTGTCCCCTGAGTCAGAGCTGCCTTAGGGGCTCATTTCCTTTCCTTAGGCCCCCAAATTCTGCTCCTATGCTGGCCCACAGGACATCTTCTGCCCTCTTATTAGGGAAAAAACACAGGGTAACATGAGGTCTGGGCCTGGGGGCTGAGGCTCAGGGCCTGCTCTGGGAGTAGACGACAGACAGACAACGGCTTCCCAGCCAAGGTGGGGCTCACAACAGGATAAAGACCATGCGCTGTGTCAACATGACCTCTGCGAAGTGTGCCGGTCCCTTGGGCCTGGTCAGACAGCAGGCTGCTCTGGAGGAGCTTTGAGGCGCAGTGTGACCTGCCTTCCGGATCTCAGATCTCATCTCCTGAGCTATCACACTTGTCATAAGGTCCTTTTCCTCTGTTTTCAGAGAACTCTGGGCTTTCTCCTGCCCTTGACTCTGCACTCTGACTCCTTCTCCTCCCTCTGGTCTCCCCCAGACTTTAGCTCCCCAGAGGTCTCTGCTGACCCCTTGGGTCCCTCCTGTCACCTGCCTCCTCCCTCAGCGCCCACACACCAGTCACAATTGGCGCGTCTGTCTCCTTGGTGCTTCCCCAGTTAGCCCGTGCCAAGGCCTCACAGGGACAGAGACCCCATCTGTCTTGTCCATAGGTTCTGGTTTGGGCTGGGTTTGCTCCTCTGCTCCCTAGGGTGTTGGGGATGGGGTGGGGAGGACATTATGAACATCTCCCTAGTGGGGCCTACTGGGGCTCCACACACATGCTTGCTGACTTGAACTGAATCAAAGATTCTAGGGCCCCTCTGTATACTGACTTCCAGCTCCCAAATGAAAAGCCATAAAACTAATGCTTAAAACACACTTACTGAGTGGAGAATGGGGAGACGCTGGCCCCTCACATGTATTTAAACAGGAAGATACATGGTAGTACACACCTGTGATCCCAGCATTCTGGGAGGCTGAGGCAGGAAAACTGCAAACTTTAAGACCAAGCTGGGGAAACTTAGTGACTCATGCCTGCCTTCAGGCCCAGGCCTCAGAGGGGCTCCTGGCAGCCCCCCCACCTCCTCCTCTGCCCGCACAGCCCGCCCTCACCTGGCTTCTTCTTGACAGCCTCCTGGATCTGGATTCTCTCCAGCTCGGCCAGGCAGGGGGGCTCTGTGGGGAGAGAGGCAGCCTGAGGGCCCCAAGAAGCCTAGGGTTCTCTGAGGATGAGACATGGGAGTCAGGGAGGGGACGGGTGGGTCCCGCAAGGTTGGAGATCCAGGGGAGCATAAGACTAGTAGGCTGGGGCCAGGGGTTTAGCTCAGCAGCACAAGTGCCTGCCTAGCAAGTGTGAGGTTGTGAGTTGAATCTCTGGTACCAAAAAGAAAAAGAAGAAAAAAAAAGACAAGCAGGCCTATATACAGACCTCCCAGCCAAAAATAGCCGGCCACCAAGCTCCAGGTCACCTTGGCACTCCCAGCCCTCCACAGGAAGGCTTCTCTACAGAAGACATGGAATAAGCCTGCAAGGCCTGGCATAGGGGGTCGGGCAGTGCCTGGCAGGAAGGCTGGCAGTTCAGGGTGCAAGACCAACCCCACCCACATGCTTGCATTTTCGAGGGCTTTGGTCTCTTGTCAGGGGCTCAGACTAGCACAAGGTGGAGCCCTAGCCTTGGACTCTGGCCACAGACACTTCACAACTTCCACACACGATGGCCAGGGGGCAGGCCACTGCCTACACTAGCTCCTGGTCAGTTGACCCTTAGGACCTCAGTTTTCCTATCAACTGACACTTTCTTGTTGGCCTAGATAATCTCTAAACACTGGGCAGATAAGGCTAACAAAGTTTTCTGACGATTTAAGACCAATGATCACCTATGTTAATTGTTCACTGGGGCAAAAGACTCAAGAAGTGCCAGGAAGTGGAATCACCAAGAAGCGAATGCATCTTCAGCTCTAAAACCCCCCATCCCTTGCCCTCTGGGGGCCCCTAAAAGACCTACAAGGCATCAAAAGGTGCTTAAGCTTCAGGACCTGCAAAATTCGGATCCCCCTGGGGCCTGCCGAGAAAGGGCATCACAGGCTAGCTCCCCGGGCTCTGAGAGGGAAGCCCTGCAAGGTGCAGGTGAGCAGCCGGGGGACAGGGGTGCTGCCTCCTCACTCCGCGGGCCCCAGTGCTCACTCTCCCTCCAGAAGCAGAAGCACCACTCGGCGGTGGACACTCGGCCGTCCTTGTAGGTGTCGCAGGAGTTGAAGAAGGGACGGATGCAGACCTCGTACTTGTCCAGGTTGATGGCGGCCAGCTCGGTCTGGTCTAGGAAGAGGTCAGCACTTGTGTCCAGCTTGGAGAACATCCAGCCAATGGCGTCCTTGCAGCTGGCCCCCAGGCTCTTGTCCAGCCCTGGGGAGCAGACCAGGATTCAGACTGGTTCCATCCCCACCTTCCCATCCCTACCCTTCGATCTCAGCCCTGGCCCTCTTGGTAGGGCCAGGCAGCCTGGAATCCAACCATAAGAAGCTCAAGAATGGCCAAGGTCCTTTGTCCTTCTATACCACAGCCCTGCATCTATATCGCCCAAATCCTGTTCTGAAAGCCTCAGAAAAAATAATTCCTGATTGTGTGTGTGAGACTAAGGAACAAACACGGCCTTGACTCTTCTAGGCAAGTGTTCTACCACCGGGCTGCACCTCCAGCCCCAGAATTGAGGAGCTCTTTACTTTTGGATGCTGATTTGTAGCCTGAGCTCTCCCAATCCATGGTTTTGGTTTGGTTTGGTTTTGATACTGGGAATTGAGCCCAGGGCCTCTGCACTGAGCCACATCGTTGGCTCTTTATTGTTTGAGAAAGAGTGTTACTAAGTTGTCTGGTCTCGGCTTGAGCTTGCCATCCTCCTGCCTCAGCCTCCCAGAGTGCTGCGATCACGGGTGTGCATGACTACACCCGGCTTCTCCACACACGCACGGTAAGAAGTCCTTCCCATTTGCTAGTTATATTCTTCTTGCACTGGTTGACATTAATCACTCCTTCTCTGGGGGCCCAGCTCTTCTGGGGATCTCGGGAGTAAGAGTAGGGCTGGCCCATACACGACGGTCTCCTTGGCCCCTCCTTCCTGTACCTCCAGCCGGGCTGGCAGCACTGCTGGCTGAGCCGTTCTGCTTGGAGTTCTCATGAAGGAGCTGGAACCAGTCCCGAAGTCGATCGCCCAGGTCGGCCAGGTCCTGGCCGGTACAGGTGTCTGCAGTGGGTGACACAAAGAAAGGCACAGAGCACAAATTGGGGCTCAGCATGAAGCAACAGCCTGGTTTCAGTTGGGGATCCTGCCCTCCAGGCAGGGAGGCCCTGCCATGATGCAGGAGAAGGGAAGGCAGAAACCAGGGGCTCCCTCTCTTGGCCTCTCCCCAGCGAAGTCCCTTCCATCACCCCCGTGAGAGAACTGAGGGCTGAGGCCCAGGCCTGCTCTGCCAACCGGGGGCCCAGAACCTCACAGTCTTTCAGGCTGTTCTTCTCCCCTCCCACCCTGCGAAGCTGTGGCCACCCTGCAACCCAGAGGAGGAGCTGGCGCACCCGTTACCTGACTTGCCGTCCGCGGTGGAGGTGGCAGCCTGCTCCGTGGGGCAGGGGCAGGGGCCCTGGCATCTCACCGTTAGCTGCTTGTTGCTGAGACAGGCCTGCTGCTCCAGCTTACACTGCAGGAGAAAGGGGGCCGGGTGCCTTGGGCTTCCTGCCCTGGAGCCCCACCCTCTTCCACAGGAGCAGCCCAGGAAGGCCCCCCTCGCCCTCTGGGGACCACGGGTGCACAGAGGTGAGCCACAGCAGATCCACAAAGGGGGCCCCAGGGGCCAGGCCTTGCTGTGAAGACTGGGATGGGCCCCAGAGTATCCTGCAGCTCTCCCTGAGTCTGTTTTGGCTACCATGGCCTGTCCTCCGCCTCACTGTCCCTCGGTCCCTCCCTCCCTGGTCTTCCCATGGTCTCCTGCAGGGGCCCTGTCCTCGACTCTCTTAAGCAGCAATCACCACTACCTAACACACACACACACACACACACACACACACACACACAGATGCTGGGCTCTGCCAGCTGCGGGCTGCACCCTGCTCTAAGCATCTTGCCCTGTCTGTGTGTTTCTCCTTCAGGGTGAGGGCTCCTGGGAAGCAGGAACTGAGCCTCAGCACTGCAGCACCGTGCGCCTTATCATACTTGTTCCCAGCCGCTCCATGCAGGAGGATCCTGTTTCTTGTGCTCAGCAGAGACATCAAGGCACCGGAGGCCCAGTGACATGTTGGGCCGTGGGCAGGGGACGGAAGCCAGACCTACTGACGACCTGCACTCCCTACAGAACAATCCACCTTGCACCGCAGCTTCCTGCCCACAGGGGTGGCTGCTCTGTGCACCGGTGTGGGACCGAGCTCTCCCTGTCCTCCTCTGTCGGCACTGCCTCCTTTACGGCCCTCTGGCCTAAGCGTCACCTCTGCCCAGGCCTCTTGCTCAATCTTGCTCTGCCCTCTCTTCCCTTGGGGGTGACCTCATCTCTTTGCCAACTCTACCTTGTCACCTTGTCACCACAGCTGCTCATTTACTTGTCTATTTATTTTGTGGTACTGAGGACGGAGCCCAGGGCCTTCACCCTGAGCTGTACCCCAGCCCTCCCACCGTTAGAGACGGAGGATTACTAAATTCCTCAGATTGGGCTCACACTTGCCATCCTCCTGCCTCCGCCTCTCAGAGTGCAGAGATTTTACAGATGTGTGCCACCACCCCTGGTCTGCTGATTCTTCACCCCAAAAAGGCCCCCAAGCCCTGAAACCCAACCCTAGCCAATCATCAGTGCTAGCCAAAATGCAAGCAACCCCAACTTCTCATTCCTCAGAAGCGTTCATGACCAGCACCTGCGTGTCCATGGCACTTTGCTTTCACAGATACCATCACAGAAATCATCACAAAAATCCCAGAAGAGGTTCTCCCAATTCCCCCATCTTTCCCACGTCATCTTCTCAGGGAGGATGATGTCCTCCTGCCTGGGTGCTCCTGCTTCTTGGGGACACACTGGCCCATTGGCTCCTTTATCCCAGCATCTGGGCAGCAGCTCTCATACTTCTGAGAGCCCCTTACCTCACTTACACCCCTTGCAATTTCCTGGCCATGTGTCTCTTCTGGCCCCCCTTCAGCTGCCCCAGGTGAAGGACATGGTCTTGCTCCATCTCTCAGGTCACCCTGGCCAGGGCTCAGGCATCCCTCCCACACCCTGCCGTTCGGTTGCACCAAATGCACTGGCTGCCCACATCAGTCCTGGGAATTCCTGGGGAGGCCCCGGCTGAGTGTCCCCCAGGTGTACCCACCCCACCCCAGCCCACCTGGGGCTGCTCCTCACCACTGAGCTATATGTGTGGCCATCAGAGCCGCAGACTGAGGCCAGCTGGGCCATGTGGCAGGGTTTGCAGATGGAGTCTTTATTTCCATGGAGTTTCAGAGTGGGCTGCTTGATCCTACAGGGAAAAGGGTGGGGAGACATGGAGAAGGAGATAAAAATGAGAAAGGGACAAGAGAAGGTCCAATAGACCTGTCCTGACAAGCGGCTGGCCAGCAGACTATAGCAGGTCAGCACCTCTGTACTCCTGCTCACCCACACAGTCGCCCCTTGCCAGACCCTCCTCTGGCTCAAGGGTGGAACTGGGCAGATTCTTCCCTTTTCCAGAGTCTGGTGAGGTCTTGGGGAACAGAGCCAGCTCTGACTGCAAGAGGTAAAGGAGTCTCACTTCACATGAGGGGCCAGCCTAAGTCAGAGGTCATAAATCCATGGTACCACGGAACAAATCTGACCTGCAAACTGATTTTGTCTGACCACCCAGGGTGATTAGTGTTTTGTGACCAGAGTTATTTGCCTACATTTGCATAATGCAAGAGTTCACCCAAAAAAAACCCTGGATTCTTAGGCTTTCTAGAAAAATGGAGGATGTGGGGATCCAGTCTTGAACTGTTACACAGAAAAGCAGCTACCCATTTCCCAGAGGGCCTGGCTTACCAAAGTAAACTGTCACCAAGTTTCCTTCCTGCCCAGTACCGCAGTCACCTAACAATGCAAGTCTAGACTGGGTTCAGGAGAGAGGGGAGGGAAAGGGAAGCTGTTCATGGGGTCCTGGAGCCAGGCAGGATCGTGTCCTTGAGTTGGAGCCAAGGCTTTCTCAAACATCCCTTACCCTTCCTGTGTAAGCCTCAGAAGTTAGAACCTGAACTTTCAAATCATCTGGTCTAATAACCTGTTTGTCTTAAGGCAGATACCCATGTGTGACTTTCCCTGGTATTGGGAATAGTTTTCTGAGGAACAGCTTCCTCCTTGCTCTTTGTTATGGTTTAGGTCTCAAATGCCCCCCAAAAGTCTCATGAGTGTGGAAGGTGCCTGGATCATTGGGACGCTGTACTCAACAATGGATCACCCACTGACCAGTTCACAGCTGAACGCAGTATTAGGAGACAGGAACTGCTTGGAGACGATCACTGCGACATGACCTGGAAGGGTGTGTTCTTGTCTTTGGCTCCTCCCTCTGCTCCCTGCCCCTGGACCACCTTGATGAGCAGCTTTCCACTGCATGTTGTTTCTGCCTTGGGGCCAGCCAGCCATGGACTGAACCCACTGAAACCGTAAGCCAAAATAAACCTCTAAAATTCAGGTGTCAAATACTTTGTCCCAGAGATGGAAAAGCTAACTCACAAAGTGTTGTCCCTACAGTGGACAGGCAAACTCTCTTATAGAGGGGTTCAGGTGATCAGGAGCCGAGGTCCCCCACTAACAGCCACAAGAGAGGCACAGAAGTGATTCCTCCAGCCCCCGCCAAGCCTGAGACAGGATGCCTCGTCCTGCACCACGACTCAAACCTCACCACAGACCTCAGACCAGAATCAGCCAACTCCTGGCTTTCTGACCCTCAGGAACTGTGGGAGATGACACAGAATGGTTGTGTTAAGCCACTAAGTTTTGTGTGGTCTGGTTGGCAGCAATAAGCACTATGCAGGGGACAGGTCAGCAGAACACGGCCCTGGAGCTGACCCCGCAGGGCCCCCCAGCCTCACCTGTGCTCCAGCTTCTTGCGGCTGATGCACATGGCCCGCTGGTAGCCCTGGGCGATGCACACCTTGTGGCGACTGCACTTCACCTTCTGGCAGGGGTCCTTGGTGGTGTCCAGGGCTGCAGGGACACAGTGTGAGGACACAGGTCACCCGGGAGCTCCCAAGCTGGAAGATCCCTCCCTCTAGCAGCCCTAGGGAGCCCCTTCAGGATCTGGCTGCCTGAGGAGCCCAGAGGCCAAAGCCAGGCCTTGTCCACTGTGTCACTGTTCCAGGGTTTCTGTCCCCTCCCCTGGCTAGGAAGGATGTGTTACCTTCATCTCCTTGCTGATTGTCCTCCCAGCTCTTGATGTAATCATCCTAGAGAAGGACAGAGAGGGTGGGGACAGGAGGGCAAACATCTGCATCCCAGAGTCAGCTCCGCTGCCACCACGCTGGAGAGGACAGGTCTAGGCCACTCTGTCCACATGCAAATTGCTGCCAGATGACCTCTGTCCACCCCATACCTCTGTCCCCCTAAATGACTCCCATCCAGAATCCCAGCCTCTCCTGAAAGGATCTTATCCTCCTCACCCCATGCAGGATGCTGGCGGGGAAGAAGCTGGGGTGCAGCTGCTGATGGATGGGGTGGGGAGGGCTGTGTGCGGCTCCAGAGAGGCCACAGGCCCCGGGAACCAGCAGTACTCACCTCCACCTCCTGGAGACAGGATGTGGCAGCCGGCACAGCAATGAGCAGAGGGGACAGAGAGAGAGAGAGACAGGGTATTAGTGGGGGTCCCCTCAGATCATGAAGTCTCAGGGCACCGCTGGTCTTTGTGGCCTTGGGTGCCAAGTGACAGTCTTTGACTGTGATTGTGGAGGCCAATATTCCTGCATCATCACCCATGGAGAGTGGCCTGGGGGCAGTGGGGTGGACTCACAGTTTTTGCAGGGTGACACATGCCAGCCAGCCCTGGCCCCACCACCAAGACACACATGAGAAGCTCAAAGGGTTAGCAATGCCCCCAGAATTGCTGTGCCTTCTTCTACTAGGTCCCTGCCTAGGCAGCACCCCTTTGGGGGTGAGGTGGGTCAGGGCTTTCTCTTCTAAGCTGTAGGGGGAGGACCACTTCTTACTCAAGGTCCCTTCCTTCCTGCCGAGCTCAGACTCGTGAAGGGACACCCATGCCAGTGACAATGGCTTCTCCAGTCACCACCATCCAGTATCAAGTCCTCAGTCAAAGGAAACTGAAGAGGCCTTTGGAGGTTGCCCAGGCCAGTGCCTCCCTATGTAGGAGAGGCCAGATCCCTGACACCCTGCATCACAGAGGCCAGGTCCCTGACGCCCGCACAGCGCCCTCCTCCTGCTGCATCACAAGGTCTCTGAGACTTAAGGCATGGGGAGATTCGTCCTGCTCCATTCCTCCTGTGGCCCAAGGACCCCAGCCTGGCCAGAAGCAGAAAACCTCTCCCTGGCCTAGATCCCAGTCGCCAAACTCCAGCGTTTCTAGATGCTTCCCTTTCCCCTTGGGGGATGGAGACAGTTGCTGAAAACCAGTACATAGCTCCCAGGCCATCTTGGTGGAGGCTGGGTCAGGTGGGCAAAAGTGGGTTCCTGTAGGCCAGGGGCTGCAGTGCCAAGGATTCAGCTGCCAACCTCCTCCATTGGGGGACAGCAGAAAGGGCAGGGCAGCCCCTCATCCTGAGTCCGCATCATCAGAGCAGAGGAACAGGGTGTGGGGCAGAGGCCACACTGCAGAGTGAATGATGGTGAGCAGGGCCGGATGCTTGGCTGTCAGGCCTGGGGAAGAAGCCACCAGAGGGCTCATCTTGTGGGGGAGGGAACAATGGGGGGCTCCCAAGGGCTTTGGAAGCCCAAAGCCTCTGGGCCTCCGCAGCCGCCCCTGCAAAGCTCAGGACAGGTAGGGAGGAGGCCTCTCTCTGCGACAAAGGTCAGAAAGTGCCAGAGCCAGGCAGGGGAGCGCCTCACGGACACCCAGCACTGTGCACAGGTGTGTGCCTGACACGTACCACATGACACATGCATGAATGCATGTGTGCACGCTCTTATCCGTGCGAATGTGTACTCACGCACACATGTGCATAGCGTGTGAAAACTAGGGCACCGCGTGAGGCAGCCCACGAGTGCCAGATGGTTTTTAGCAGAACTGAATCAACAAAACCCAGGCTACGAGCAGCCCCCGGCTTTCACAGTGGGTGCCGAGGCCCACCCTCAGGTGCAGGCTTCCTCCCGCGTCTTCAGTTGTGGGGTGGCAGCAAGAGCTGGTTGGGGGCAGAGCACAGCAGGCTTCTCCCCAGGAGGGCTGGGCCTGTGCTGGCTCTGGCCGCACTGAAGCCCTCTGCCTTCCCCTTGGCTCATCCCCTCCCTGTCACATTCAGCTTTCTCCTGTCCCCTCACACTGGCCACTGCTGACCTCCATGACAGGACAGGACACGTCTAAGCAGCCAACGTCCCGCAGTCTTGGGACAACCAGCAGGTGGAAGAGGCTCAGGAGGGGCGTCCTGAAGCCACAGGGCTTGAGCCCCTGCAGGACCTTTGCTCTGAGCCAAAGGAGGCCAGCTCAGACCCAGCCCTGGATAAGGGGTGGTGGGAAACAGAGGCCAGAAGGAGTGGACAGGCTGAGGCCAGGGTTATAAGGAAGGAGCGAAGGAGGGATGGTCTCCACCCCATGGGGTCTCTCCATCTGCTTGGGTCCCCCAGGGGGAGGACGGATGATGTGAAGGGGGCGAGTCAACTGCGTGCGGGAGGGAAGGACCTCCAGGCTGCTCCACATCCTTCCCACAGCCAGGGCACATGGAGTCTGGGGGACTCGGGGACGGAGTCTGGGGGACTTGGGACAAAGCGGTCTTCCGAATCAGGAGAGGATTTCCAACTTGAAGTTCAGGGGGCAGTAAGGGTGGAGTGGGACTTGTAGGTGACCAGCTCTTCTCCCTGATGCAGACGGTCATGTCCCCTGGTGTGGCTGAGCTCTGTTCCCCCACTGAGCCACATGGTAGAGGGTTGGGCTCTGCATCCCAGGGGAGTAGAAGCGGCCAGCCTGGGGACAGGTGGCCCTGGGGTGGCACCTGATGCCAGGTTCCGCTGGTTAGAGGAGCTCAGCGCCTCCCTCCTGCCCAGAGCCCCAGGGAGACACAGGAAGCAGCACACCACAACCCAGAGCCACCAGGACTGCAAAAGAGACCTCGGGTTCAGGTGGAGGGAATGGGGAGACACATAATGAGGGGCAAGAGAGGCCACCCTGGGGACAGCAGGGACAGGGAGGTGCACAGCATGGGAATGGCCATTCGGGATGTAGCCTGGGGATACAGCAACTCTGGAGGTCAGGTGGGGGCTGGAGCAGGTCCAGGGTGACAGAGAGGTGAATGGGCAGCCAGGTTTGCTAGGGGCAGGCCCACCAGCTGCTGTGAGAAATGGCAGGAACAGCACCAGCGTCCTCTCGGTAAACGAGCCTGCTTCAAAGCTGGCTCTGGGGCTGTCTCACCCAACAGAGGGGATCTCAGGGGCCCGACTCAGGGCCCTGAGGAGATGGGTCAGGACCCCGAGTTCCAGCTGCCAGAGGAACACAGGTGTCCTCTGGGTTAGTATAGCCAACAGGGACCAGAGTGGACAGGTGAGAGAAACTTCCAGAAGGCATGAACAACCATGGCTTGTATCAAATGGGATTTTTTTTTTTTTTTTTTTTTTTGTCTTTTTGAGACAGGGTCTCACTGTGCAGTTTAGGTTGGCCTTGAGCTCACTTTGTAGCCCAGGCTGGTCTCTAACTCGCAATGATCCTCCTGCCTCAGCCTCTGGAGTGCTGGGATTACAGGCATGAGCCACCAAACCCAGCTCTCAAATGGGATTTTAAAATCAATCTGGAGCTGGGTGTGGTGGCTCACACTTGTAATCCCAGCACTCGGGAGGCTGAGGCAGGAGGATTGTTGTAAATTGGAGACCAGCTTGGGCTACAGAGTGAGCTCAAGGCCAGCCTGAACTGCATAGGGAGGCCCTGTCTCAAAAAGACAAGAATAACAGTAATAATAGGCTGGGGATTTAGCTCAACTGCCAAGCAATAAATAAATAATAATAATAATAATAATAAAATCACTCTGGAAGCCAGGTGTGTAATCCCACACCTGGATGTGTAATCTCAGAGCTGGGAAGGCTGAGGCAGGAGGATCACTGTGAGCTCAAGGCCAGCCTGAATTACGTAAGGAAACCCTGTCTCAAAAAAACAAAAATAAAGGGATTTTGCTCAGTGGTAAGCACCTGCCTGGCAAGAATGGAGGCACAAGATCATAAATTCAATCCCTGATAGCACAAAAAAAATAAACAAAAAATAAATAAAATAAAGTCAGTCTTCTCTATGTAGTTTGTATTAACAGCATAAAAAGTGAGAATACAGACGCACAGAGACGCAGGGTGAGCAGCCAGGGATTACAGACAGATGAAGAGCCGGGCCAGGACTCCGTATCCCCCACCCCAGGCTGCACATCCCAGTTCTGCGCAGAGCCTTCCCCAGGCCCCACGGCTCTGCTGGTCCACGAGCCTCTCTCCACACACCCCTACCGGCACTTGATCAAAGCAGCGCCCCCTGCTGGCCGATCGCCGCCCACCCAGGTCCTACACCGCAGAAGCCTAACTGATTTGGGACCTCTCACTAAAGGTTGCTCTCATTTTGAGAGGGTTACAAAGGGAATGAAGTGGTGGCATACGCCTGTAATCTCATCAGTAAGGAGGCTGAGGCAGGAGGATCATCGCAAGTTCCCGGCCAGCCTGGGCTTAACCTAGAGAGACCCTGTCACAAAAAAACCACAGAGGGTAGACGACAGAGATTCCTTTCAAATTGTTTACTTCTGGCAGGGATACAGAGCATTTGGCATCTTTCTGCTTTTCCCAGAATTTCTATGTGAACTTGTATTACTTTTATAGTAAAGGGAAAAAATAGCACACGTTAGGTTTTACAACCCCTTCTTCCCTGGCTCCGTGACTTCAGAAGGTGAGCTTCCCGCTGGCTCCCAGATCCCCCCACCCACCCAGTGGATGTGCCCCAATCCGCCTGGCACATGACCTCTGCGAAGCCACTTTCTCAATCTGGAATGCTAGGGTTATGGCCAACCCCAGAACTCCCAGTCATTACCCGCCAGGCTTCCGCCACCTTGTGGAAGTCTGCCACTGCTCTGGCGACACCCCTACTTTTGCTGTACTTAAATGGCCAATTCTGGAGCCGGCACTATTAGGCGCCTGCTTGCAATCCCAGGGAAAGCTCAGGTAGTAGAATCACCACAAGTTCAAGGCCAGGCTGGGCTACAGCGAGTTCAAGAAGCACACAGGAGAAATTATGCTAATCATTTCCATTCATTACCTTCTTTATACAACAAACCCAAAGGAAGAGTACTGATATTATCTCCATTTTTATGTGATAAAATTGAGGCTCAGAGAGGTTAAGTGACTTACGAGGAATCACACAGCAATTGCCCAGCAAAAAAATACAGGTACCCAGATCTATGATTCCAGAATCAATGCCCCTAACCAGAATCTATAAACGTTAACTGATGAGGACTGTGGAGAGCCAGGGTGGAGTAGGAGGCCCAATCCCAGCATAACAGTGGTTTCTCCCTGGGGCAGGGAGACCCACAGCCAGGACAGGAGGGACAGGCAGTAGAAGGCAAGCCACTCACGGGCCTCCCTGTTCCGGTTCTTTCCAGAATCGCTTT